GTAGTCCCACCTTCTTTTATGTTAAAATGAGACAAATGGGAGGGTGTGGATCCATATTTACCTCTGCCCACTCCCTTTCCTCAATCAGAGCATTTTTATTCCATTTCTTGGAGTCCTACACTTCTTCAGGTTCCTTCAAGATTATAATCCCCTGTCATAAACTCAAATGCCACCAACAGATAAATGGGCATAGCCAATGATTGAAGCAGGCTGGGTAGCAGGCACAAGCAGCACCAGTGGAAGGCAGAGACTTTGGAAAACCAAGAATCCTTCCCTTCCCAAGGTGGCAGCCACTACTCAGCTCCTACGAGCTGTTTCCCATGAGAATGTGCACCCAGCTTTGACTAAAGATTGAGATTTTCAGGTGAAACCTCAAAATGCCACTCGCACGATTACATCACACCATATAACACTCCATCTTAGAGACTGAAAAAGCAAATGGCTATGGTGTGAACTGCCTATGGAGAAGGCTGCATGGCAGGGAATTACAGGTGGCCTCTAGGAGATGTGGGCCTCAGTCCCACAACCCAAAGGAACTGAATTCTGCCAACAACCATGTGAGCCTGGAAGAGGATCCCAAGTTCCTAAAAGGAATGCAGCCCAGCCAGCATTTTAATCTCAGCCTTGTGAGACCCTGAGCAGAGGACCCAGATAAGGCAAGCCCACAGAAGCTGTATAATAATAAATGGATGTCATTTTAAGCCACTAAGATTGTGGTAATTTGTTACACAGCAATAGAAAACCAATGGACCCCCCTCAGCCTGCCCTTCTCAGACAGTGCATCAAACTCCAGAGGTTCCTCTCCCCATCTGCCATCATTATTTCCATCCCTAACTGTCCTGATCTCAGCGGGTTGTCAAGAGTGTATTTAATGTGACAAACTGACTTACCATTGATGACTTACCTACCCCTCCTAGGGATTCTTTGCATTTTTAAGAGAGAACTTAGAGAGGTACTGGCTAAAGCAGAGGAATAATTGGTTAAAATGATGGAATCTCAGAAAATCATGCAGGAAAGCAGAAGTTATCTGGTGCCTGCAGGTTGTCCCACGTGGCCTCAAGCCATGGTTTTTACCTAGAAATAAGGTCAGCCCAACCAAGAAAACACTCTAAACAGTGGGACCGAGAGTTAGAAAATGGGTTGACACATATTAGGAAAATTTATTGAGAAAAGCCTCCATTTTCTTCTCCATAAAACAAGGGTGAGACCTCCCCTGCCCCTGTGACTGGACTCTTGTAAAGATTATGCAAGTTGATGTACATGAAAGTGCTCTGTAAATAAAAGATATATTCAAAAACATCATTGAAGTGAGGAAGCAATCACCGATCATTTAAGCCAACAGGATCCTGGGCACACATTCTGATTTCAGTCCTGCAGTCTCAGTGCTGACCTTGTGCCTGTCTGTTGGCAGGTTTCTGTTCCCTTGTCGCCTCTCAGTTTCAGCCAGAGGCTGACATTCACTTCTCCCAGCATCCATGCAGCTGACAAAGGCCACGGAGGGATTGAGATATGTTCCTCTCACATACAGCAGCCTCATTAACCAAGGAGGAAACGCTTCCCAGAATCCAACACAGATATCTAGAGATGTCCCCAGACACCAGACCAAAACAGCCCCATAATAACCCCCAGGCTCCAAAAAGGAAATCACCCCTAGTGAGAATGAGAGCACCAAGTCCTTCAAACCCAAGCAGCCAAGCCCCTGAGAGTCCTAGAACACTGTCTCATCCAACAGGGCTCCACTGTGTCCAAATCCGTATCTCCAATGGCAGGAGCAAGTGACCACTTTGTTCTGATGTCTATATGGCATATAGTAAGAGCCTCATTGGACAAGCAGTTTTAATGCATTTAAATGGACAAGAGAAAGGGTGGCGAGGAAGAGAATAGGAAGATTTACTCTTAATATATTTTAGCAAACATTTTTAAAATGCATGAGAAGAAATAAGCCATTCTAATTGTAAAGCCAGATGTTGAAATCAAGGATCACATGATGGATTAGAGGAGAAAAAAAACTCTCATTCCATAACTAAACTGAATTATTAAATTCTAGAATTCAATAATAGTAAAATAACAATAATGTTAATACAACCATAACAATACTAGACATTTGCTGAGCTTACCATGTGCCTGGAACTGTGCTAAATGCTTTCCATGCATTCTGTCACTCAGTCCTCACAACAGCCCTGGAGGAGGGAAGGTGTCATTACTGTCCCTATTTAACAGATGAAGGAACCAAGCCAGCTATGTCTGCCTCCAGAGCCTGTTCTCTTACCATGATATCATCTTGCCCCCTCAAAATGAATATGCAAAAATGTGCCCCTACTCCCCAGAAGAGCCAAGGAGGTTGACCACAAATCTATCAAGTTCATGGTAGTCCCTTCTCCCACACTTCCTCATCTAAGAGCTTTGCCAAGCATGCCTGGAGAGGTAATTCTCTTCCTAACGTCCTCAAACCTCACAATCATCCTCCTCTCTTCAGAGAAGAGATAATAAGTTCCACACAATCGCTGTTAATATTCATTGGTATGTTTTCTTCTTTAGAAATAAAATATGAATAATATACTCAAGTCCTAAAACAGTCCATGTGCTTTGACATTTTCAGAAAGTAAGAATCCTCTTTATTGAAGACAATCTAGATAATTCCATTTCCCCTGCAACTTGGTGCCAAACAAACAAATGGATATAGCCCTAGAATTCAAGGAAGAAATGGTTTGCTTTCCCTGGAATAACTTTATATTCTTGTGGTATTTTTGCCAGGCTACATCGAATTTTAATTGTTTGGCATTCTCTTTAAGGACTTCAAATCAGTAATCAATAGGAATCTGGAGCTAGTAAGTTTACAGTAGCATTTAAGAAAGAAGCATGAGTTTTAAATGATCAAATGATTGCAACCTGAAATTAATATTTAGTGCATTTGGAGAATGTGAAGTTTAGGCAAAACTGAGAGTGAAAGCAATAACTGGAACAATGGTAGCCTCTGTGTGGCAGAGTAGATAGGTAATCACTTAGATGGGCATTTGAAAGCCAAAAAAAGGTGCTACATTCTCAAAGCTGCTCTTCCACAAAACAGACCTAGTCCTTTAGACCATGGAGAGTTTCCTGGAGCACAGTTTGGAGGCATACCTAATTATAAAGAAGGAAGAGATGAAGGAAGCAATGGAAGGAGGATCAGAAGGACCGAGTGAGGGGAAGAGGAAGAAAAGAGGAAAAAGATAAAGCAAACATGTAGACTCTGAGTCAAATCCAACATGGGCAAGTAAAATCTGTATAACAACAACAAAAAGATTTTCAAGTTTCTAGATATGAAATCTTATGAAATCTAGGCATTAAAAATACAAACACAAAAGAATATTAGGTAATATATTCGAATTCTTGGTATTAGAATTCGACCTGTAGTTCAGGAGATGATAATAACAATGTTGAAGGCACAGGAAGAAGTGGAAGAGCACGGTAACAGAGAATATTATTTTGGATACTTGTGCTATATAGGTAAATAGTAGTTTACCAATGATCAGTTTTCATAATAATTGTTTTTATTAAGGGCTTTGTATACTCATTTCTGCACTACCACTATTTGTAATACTCTAATCTCTCTGGAAGTCTATCAAATAACTATAATTATTTGCATTGGTACACAAGAAAACTGAAGATGAGTGAGGGTAAGTTGCTCAAAGACACACAGATAGAGGCAAAGCTGCTCACCAGTGACAGCTCTGGGACCACCCTCAAACCTGTTTAATCTCGAACATCATTATCATCACCAACAACAGCCACAACAATGTTAATTGAGCAGTTTACATACAGTAACACTTGTAATACCCATCATAACCTCTTGAGGTAGTTATTATTGTCATTCCAGTTTTACATAAGAGAAAACTGAGGCTCAAACAGGTTAAATCATAGGCAAGGTCGCCTCCCTATTAAGGTGATGGACTTGGGATATGAACTCAGGCAAGCTGAGTCTATGCATTTAACCACTGCATGCTTCAATATTTTGTAAATTTTAGAAATATGACTAACACTTTAAAACACACCTGTGTGAATATCATAGAACTAGCATTTCAATAAATGTTAATAAGTGGCTTGCTCTATTGCATTCTTAATATGAGAATTAGCATCAGAATCAGGTCAAATTCAGTTACAGGTAATTTAATGCACAGACATTGGTTTTGTTTTATTTTCATTCTCTCATTTTGATGGAAATATGCTGTAATGAGTGAATTGTGATAAAGCACAACGATAGTTTATTGAAGAGATTTAAAAAAGAGCTGATGCTTCATCTTACCATCTTTCTAAAGTGACAGTGAATTAACAAATTAAGAAAAATGTTTTAAACAGAAAACAATACCGGAGGTGGCTGGACATTTTTTTTTCCTACAGACTTGGAGGTATATATGTATTTGTGGATGCACATAATGTGGCCTATTAGGTCTTTGTAACTGATTAGGACTTCAGTATGTTTGTCAACAAACAGGAAAAATAATGAACTTGGAAGAGCTCGGCTTATCTTTCCTTTTCTACTCTCTTCCTACACTTTAACTTTAAAATTAAATTGGTAAGTTACAGGTATTTATCTAATAACTGAGAGGTACTCTCAAAGAACACATTTTACAAAACATGAATTAATCAGGATAAGAGAGGCTATGCTACATTGAAACGTGAGCCAGTGAGGGCCAGTGGGGTGTCTCACGCCTATAATCTCAGCACTCTGGGAGGCTGAGGCGTCCTAAAGTGGATCACTTGAGGCCAGGAGTTTGAGATCAGCCTGGCAACATGGTGAAACCCCGACTCTACTAAAAATACAAAAATTAGCCGGAGATGGTGGCACACTCCTGTAGTCCCAGCTCCTCAGGAGGCTGAGGCAGGAGAATCGCTTAAACCTGTGAGGCGGAGGTTGCAGTGAGCCGATATCATGCCATTGCACTCCAGCCTGGGCGACAAAGCAAGACTGCATCTCACAAAAAAATTAAAAAAAAAAAAAAAAAAAAAGGCCAGAGACTTACCAAAGTTGAATTTCTTGCTCACACGAGTGCTATGGCAATTGGGCAACTCCCGAGCATCTGTCCTCTCTTTGGGAACTCAGTAAACCAGGAGGCATCCATCCAATGGCTTCACTGTCTAAGCACATGGCTTTCCAGATCACAGCTGCAGAGAAAGACAGGAGCTGAAGGATTGCACACAGGCTTGTAAATGGTTTGGTTCAGATATGGCACATGTCACTCCTCTTGTAGCTCAATCACCAGCATCGAACTCAACCAAGAGTGACTGGAAAGGTATGGATGCACACATACCTCTGGTGGGTAAAGAATGTCTCTGCCATAGAGCATCATATACATGCTTCCTTACTACTACTACTACTACTAATGCTAATACTGTATGTTTATTACAACCAAAGTTTGTTTGCTTTTTTCATCTTTTTCAAGAAACAAACTTTTGGTTTTATTAACCAATTCTATGAAGGTTGTTTTGCTTCATTAATTTTGCTTTTATCTTTAATCTGCTGTAAATTCATTTACTCTTTGGGATTTATTTTTGTTCCTTTTCTATCTTGAGTTGAGTACTTTATTTTGAATCTTTCTCATTTTCTAATAAAAGATCAAGCCTATAAATTTCCTTCTGAATACCTCTTTGGCTGCTTTCCACAGTTTTGATATATACTACTTTCATTGTGGTTTCATTCTGAACATTTCACAATTTTATTTTGACTATCTCTTTATCCAGAGAATTATATATAGATGTGCTTTGTTAGTTTCCAAATGTATAGATATGGAGCCACTCACTTTTGTTGTTAATTTATTATTGTATTATATCATAATCACACAACATATCACCCATATGAAATCAAACATTTTTTAACTTATTGAGATTTTATTTCTGGCAGACTACTGCTACAGATCTTTTTGTAAAAGCTCCTTAGGTAATTCTTTACCTTGCTTTAGAGAGTGAGAAAAATTTAGAAAAAAAAACAAGCCACAAAAGAAATCTCAACAAGTTAAAAAATGTTTGATTTCATATGGGTGATACCACATTGATTATGGTATGATACAATAATAAATTAACAACAAAAGAGAGTGGCTCCATATTTATGTAGATACCACTTTGGTTGCTTTCCACAGTTTTAATATATACTACTTTCACTGTGATTTCATTCTGAACATTTCACAATTTTACTTTGACAGATCCAGGTATTGCATTTTTATCTGCCACATAATGCCCACCATAGCAATGACACTCACATACACCACTAGTTGAAAACCTCAGCTCTATTTTGTAGATTTGGAGTTTAAGGACTTGGGTGATTGGGAACAGACTGCAGGAAAAGCTGACTGGGTGGTAGTGGATATGAAGAATTTTCTTGGTTTATATTAAGTAGCTATATCTTGTTCATCATTATATCTCGTTTATCTTTGTATGCACAATGCCCAGTACAGAAAAAACCGTCAATAAATGTAGATGACTAGATGAATTAGTAATTACCTAGGCAACTATGAGCATCGCATGATAGCTAATGGGATAGCAAATAAAATGCCATTTCATCTTCTGAAATATCAACGGCTTGTGAGAAAGTGTCACAACATTTACTTTACTTTTGTATTTTCCCCCATGTACAATGTTAAGCACAAAGTAAATACTTTTTTCTTTTTTCTTTTTTTTTTTTTTTTTGAGATAGAGACTCACTGTCGACCAGCCTGGAGTGCGGTGGCATGATCCCAGCTCACTGCAACCCTCACCTCATGGTTTCAAACGGATTCTAGTGTCTCAGCCTCCCGAGTAGCTGGGAGTACAGGCATGTGTCACGACGCCCGGCTAATTATTGTGTAATTTTTAGTAGAGACGGGGGTTTCACCATGTTGGCCAGGCTGATCTTGAACTCCTGACCTTAAGTGATCCACCAGCCTCAGCCTCCCAAAGGGCTGTGATTACAGACATCAGCCACTGCATCCAGTGGCAAATAACGTCTTTTTTTTTTTTTTTTTCCTCCGAGACGTAGCCTCACTCTGTCGCCCAGGCTAGAGTGCAGTGGTATGATCTCAGCTCACTGCAACCTCCGCCTCCCGGGTTCAAGCAATTCTCCTGCTTCAGCCCCCCAGGTAGCTGGGATTACAGGCACCCACCACCACGCCCAGCTAATTTTTGTATTTTTAGTAGAGATGGGGTTTCACCATGTTGGCCAGGCTAGTCTTGAACTCCTGACCTCAGGCGATCCACCCGCCTTAACCTCCCAAAGTACTGGAATTACAGGCATAAGCCACCGCACCCAGTCAGCAAATACTTCTTAAATGCAATTTATGAGCATGTGTATTAGTTTCCTATTGCTGGTATAACAAATTACCACATACTCAGTGGCTTAAAACAATATAAATATGTTGTCTTACAGTTCTAGAGGTTAGTTCTAAATAGGTCTCACTGAGCTAAACCCATGGTGTCAGCAGAGCTGCGTTCTTTCCTAGAGCTTCTAGAGGAGATCTGTTTTCCTGCCTTTTCCAGCATCTAGCAGTTGCCACATTCCTTGGCTTGGGACCTTGTTCCATCTTCAAAATTATCGGTAGCAGTTTTTTCTCACAATGCTATTTCTCTGTTTCTAACTCTTTTGCCTCTACCTTATCCACTTAAGGACTCAGGATAATCTTCTTATTTTAAGGCCAGCTATAAACAATTTTAATTCTATCTGCAACCTTAATTCCCCTTGCTGTGTAATGTAACATTTACAGGTTCTGGTTGTGAGGACATGGACACCTTTTGGGGGGTCATTATTGTATCTATCACAGCATGTAAGACAAAGAAAAACGACAAATAGAAGAACAGACAGTGAATGGACAGACACAATGGAGTGACAGAGTTAATAACAGTAATAACACTAGAGATATCAGGATTGGCGCATGGACTACAAGATTCTAGAACAAGGCCTAAAAAAGAATCTATCCCACACTATTAGCTAAATTCAAGCACTTGCACACACGTGAGTACACACACACATACACACACAAATATTCTGGTTAGCTGATGTCACTGCTGGGATATTACTGTTTACTAATAATAAAACAAACTAAACAAGGCATGAATGGCACGTGTGTTATTTATAGTTTTTGTAGAAAAAGTTCCCAAATTCCTTTCTTCCTGAAAAAGGATAATTTTCTTACCCTTTGCATTCTAGTTCACCTCTAAAATGTCCAAAAATTTCTAGGAAGGCAGATCATTTGCCTCCCCAATTGAAGCCATCACCATGCAAGGACTGAAGGTGACTGTCAAAGTGCACTCCCAAGACGGCACCACTGGCCTAAATTAGAGGAAGAGGCTGGTAGACATCACCCCCTTGTGCAGAGGGGCAGAGAAGCCATTCCCCTTCTGTCTTGCTGGAGGTAATTTCTTGGCTAAAACTCCATGGAAAATGGTTGTTTGGAAAGTGAAGTTCCCCAGAGCTTTCAGAATCAACTTTTTTTTTTTTTTGAGACAGAGTTTCACTCTTGTTGCCCAGGCTGGAGTGCAGTGGAGCAATCTCAGCTCAGTGCAACCTCCACCTTCTGGGTTCAAGCAAGAACCAACTTTTTCATCATTTTAAATCTACTTATTAGAAAATCTCTCTAAAACATATTACAGAAAAAGAATAATCATACTGAGTCAATACTGCATGCAAAGATAGAATAGCATGGAATAAATTATTCATTTCCTTGCCTCCTGAAGAGTACTCTGAGTGCAATTTTAACCATTCTTTCTGGCTGTGAACCTCAGAGATTTTTACGGTTCTGTAGAGTAGATAGAATGCCAATCTTCTTTGCATATTTATGTCATTTTTAAAAAGTTTTTTTTGTTGTTTTATTTTGTTTTGTTTTTGCCTCCTCTGTGACTGTCAGTGGTCACTTTTTAAATTTTGGTTTTGTCAGTGTGACTTCCTTTAACAGCTTCCTTCCTCTTCTCCTTTGCTGTGGAAATAGTAACTGGGATACCAATCTAGTTAAACTTGTAAGTAAAATGAGGTTAAGTGAGATCCTAATAAAGATACAAGATACTTACAAGTTAAGTGTATGAGATTTAAGACAAAACCAGAGTGACACTGCATGCAGGACTGCCCATTCCATCTGGAATGCATGACCGTCTGTCATCTATTTGGCTACTTAGAAGCTATTTTTACCTCTTCTCTATTTTTGTTCTGAATAGGTTAGTGTGAGAGAATTGTTTTAGCAAAATGAAATATTTTTTTAATGTGCCAAAGTCTTTTTTTTTTTTTTTTTGAGATGGTGGTCTCACTCTGTTGCCTAGGCTAGAGTCCAGGAGCACAATTTCGGCTCACTACAGCCTCAATTTCTCAGGCTCAAGCAACCTCCCAGTTCAGCATCCCAAGTAGCTGAGACCACAGGTGCATACCACCATGCCCAGCTAAGTTTTAAATAATTTCTAGAGACAAGATCTTGCTATGTTGCCTAGGCTGGTCTTGAACTCCTGGACTCAAGTGATCCTTCCACCTTGGCCTCCCAAAATGCTGAGATTATAGGAATTAGCCACCTTGCCCAGCCAAAGTCTTGAAATGGGATAAAATAGGAGTCCTCAGCCCTGGTATTGATCCCCTCACCAAAGTCATGCCCCTTTTGATGTTTATAGCATCTTGATAAAAACCAGGGCTGTGAATTAAATGTCCATTAAGAAAAGAATAGGCTCACTTGTATAACAAAATACTATGCAGCTAGGAACTATGTATACTACTTATTTATAAGCACTAAGTGGAAATTATGTTCCTTCTTACGTTGTTTAGTTAGAGGAGTGGGTATTGACAGAAAAATGCTTCCTTCTTTGATCCCCCAGGTTGACAGTTCTGAGATGCCTTGCACAAGGCGCCCCAGGAGGTCCCAGCAAAATCTAGCACCAGTTACTCACGGCACTGTCCAGCTCAGTAATGAACCTTGCTATTAACCACCCCTCTTTCCCTGCTTTCCCCACTCCCCGCCCTGATCCCTGATCCTGCGCCCTGCAGTCACCTCCCCAGGTCAGTGCATACAAGCTTTTGTCTCAGAATTTGCTTTTGAGAGAAGCCACGTTAACAAAGACATTACTGGCCAGGCTTGGTAGCTCATGCCTGTAATCCCAGCACTTTGGGAGGATCACTTGAACCAAGGAGTTCAAGACCAGCCTGGGTAACATAGCAAGACCTT